TTTCATGAATTGCATAACCTTTCCATTTTTAATACTTTTAAAAAATCATATATGTATGTATCCTCTAAAATCTTGCTATGTAAGTATGGTCCACAGATCTATGCATGAACATTGCCTGGGAGCTTATTAGAAATACTGAATTTCAGCCCTGCCTCAGACCTACTGAACCAAAATACGTACTTTAACAAGAATTGCTGTTGATTTACAGGCACATTAGTTTGAGAAGCACTACACCAAAATATATTATTGTGTCTTCCTAGGGGTTGTTTTGTTTGTTTGTTTTCTTATTTGTTTCTTGTTTTTGAGTGTTATAAGAATGACATTCTGTTTGTTGTCTTCTGTTACTTGCTTTGTTTGCTCAGCAGGGCATTTTAAGATTTATCCAGGTTGCTTTTTGTAGTTGTTCATGGCTTCCTGATGTAACATTTGTGCTAATATTCCTTCCTGCTAAACATTTAGTTTGTTTCTAGCTTGTGTTATAGTGTAGAATCCTGCTATGAACAGTCTGGTACATGTGCGCGCGCGCGTGTGTGTGTGTGTGTGTGTGTGTGTGTGTGTATTTGCATGTAAGACATTTTCTGTGCTGTGTACCCAAGAGTAGAATTATGAATTGTAGTGTATGTGAATGTTTACCTTTACCAGATAATGGTAAATTGTTTTACCACCAGCAGTATATGAGTTTTCATTGATCTACATCTTTTCAAATACATAGTGTCATCAGGCTTTTCACTTTTGGCTGACCTCATGGACATAAAGTGCCCTCTCACTGTGGTCTTTATTTGCATCTTCCTGATTAGTAATGAGATTGGTCAATTTTTTCATCTGTTTAATTACCATTCTGCTTTCCTTTTCCGTGAAATGCCTTTTCATGTATTTTGACTATTTTTCCATTATTCTCTCATTGATTTATATGAGTACTTATTTTGAAATAGTCCTTTCAGAGTTACATGGGTTGCTATGTTTTCTTCCAATTTATGACTTAGTCTCTCACTTTCTTGATCACTCTTGAACAGAAGTTCCAAATGTTAGTATAGCGTATCAGTCTTTCGCTGTAACTGCTTTTGTATCTTTAAAACAAATCCTTCCTTGCATGAATACTCTAATACTATTCTAATAATATCAGTGGATGGGTGGTTTAATACATAATTAGAGCTCTAGGATGATATTAACTGAAATATTAAGCCACCCATCGACTGGTATTCTTAAATAACTCATCGATTGGCATTTTACTTTCAAAAGGCCTATGTTTAATTTCTCCCATTTGTCATTCCAGGCAAGATCACAAGTTTTGGACTTAGCTTGACGAGGCTCAGATCCAGGCTTTGAAACAGCAGGTATCTGACCTTAGTTAAGTAATTGTCCCCATATGCTTCAGTTTCCTTATATGTAAAATAGTTGCTGTTACAATTCCTCTATTTTAAGAAATCCATTAATTACAATGGTTGAGCCAATTTAATAGAAACTTTTAAAAATGAGAACTATTACTTTAAATTTACATTTTCTTAAGTCATTTAAAAATGCATACATTTTGCCTTACCAATGCCTACCTACCACATTACTTTTCATCATCTCAAGCTATAAGATTAAATCTTTTCTACATTAAGAATCTAAAGATCCTTACACAGTTTTAGCCTTTGGTAGTTGGGCCTAATTTCAAAGTGACAAGCTCTTTGATAATCTCTTTTACATTTTTGAGATCAAGAGTGACATTTCAAAGCATATTGATTCATTTTTATTAAAAATGTAATTATCAACCACAAAAAGTTAAACATCTTCTCTTAAAAGTCAACTAAGAGCTTGTGACAGATGGACATTTAGCAACTGAGTAATCATTCTTCAGGTCTCACAAATCAGTCACTTTGAAACTTCTATGACATCTTCTGAGGGATTTGGTAATATCTTCTTATTTTAACTGTATTGCTGCTGTGTGACTGGCCATGATTTTGTAGTCATTTCAATGCTAAAAGAATATACAGCTTCCAATATCATTCTTATGAATATCTTGTTGCTTTTCAATAAGATATGGAAGTACAGTTTTTCTCCCAGAAAGAAATATTTTTTCACTTATTGTACATGTTTGTCTCCCACCCATGTTTTAATTTTCTTCCTACATACAAAATAGCTTAGCTCTTCAATGAGGTATTAATAATTATGGTGTAAACTTTTGAAGACATTTTAAGTAAATAGTATATATGTGTGTGTGTGTGTGTGCATGTGTGTGTGTGTGTGTATATATATATATTTTGAGATGGAATCTTGCTCTGTTGCCCAGGCTGGAGTGCAGTGGTGCAGTCGTGGCTCACTGCAACATCCACTTCCCGGGTTCAAGCAATTTTCCTGCCTCAGACTCCAGAGAGGCTGGGGTTACAGTTGTGCACTACCACACCTTGATAATTTTTGTATTTTTAGTAGAGACAGGGTCTCACCCTGTTGGCCAGGCTGGTCTTGAACTCCTTACATCAAGTGATCCACCCACCTTGGCCTCCCAAAGTGCTGGGATTACAGGCGTGAGCCACCGCGCCCAGCCAAATAGTCTTAATTTAGTTAAGTGCAAAGTTCATCAATCTGTAGCTATATGAATACAAGTCAGAAATCCAAAGTCCTTACCATGATCAGTATGGACTTCCTTCATCTGTTCTCATTTCCAAACAGTTTTCACCTGACTTCATCCCAGGCCACCGGTTGATTTACTATTACTCAGCCATAACAAGCTGGCTGCCATGTCTTTGCACTTGATTTTCCCACAGCCTGGAGTCCTGGCTTACTCCCTTGCTTCCTTCAGGCCACTCTACCATTACTCTTTTGGAGAAGCCTTCCTTGCCAGCCAATACAAAATGGCACTCCCAAACATCACACTCCAAATTCTTAATTTGCTTCAGTTTGCTTCATAGTACTGAGCTCCTCTGACATATTATTTATATGTCTCTAATTAAAAGAGACAGAATAAAACACTTAAGCATATATAAATATATATATATATACCACTTAAGCATATGTGTGTGTGTGTGTGTGTGTGTATTTACCACTTACGCATATATATACACACACACACACACACATATATATATATATGCGCTTAGGTGTTTATTTTATCTCTTTTAATTAGAACAGGAGGGCCCGAACTTTTCTTTACTGACTTTTTATCTCCAGAACTTAGGGTTAGCACATATTAAGTGCTCAATAAATATTGGTTAAATGATTGAATTAATGTTGAGACAATCAGGTGAGCAGGTGTTTTCTATGTAGAGTTAGAGTCACACGGGCTATTCTCAGCATTGGCAGAGGACTAGCACAGTTATTTAGTTTTCACTGAAAGACTCATCCTGATCATTATAATGTTAAAATGTGAAGAAAAAATCATATTGTTGCAAGAACTAAATCAAATAATGTATGGAAAATGTTTGCCAGAATCAGAATATCCAATGTTAATTGTTCAATAAATGCAATAAAATTTATTCTATCTGAATCAATCCTTATCCCTTCCTTTCCAGTAACAGTGGAAATGTTGTTTTTTTTCTAGTTTGAGTAAATGCTTCCATCTGTGCCCTGCAGTTCAATGCCCCCCAACCCCATCTTCTCAGGGACAACATATTGCTATTTTCCTTCCTTCTGTCATATCCGTTATTTCTCCCTCTCTTTGCATCCTACTCATCAACTTTAAAACCTGCTCCACCCAGAAGGGGGTCCTTTTGATAATGTATACAAAGTCACTACATTGCCTTTAGGGGACACGGAATAAGAAGTAATTCTTTATCAGGCTTCTGCTTATTGCTCAGCTGTCCTCACAGGTTTATAGAATTATTTGCCATTTTCTGAATGTCCGATGCCCCATAATATCCCTCATCTCTAAGTTATTGTCTGCGCCAATCTCTACCCAGAATGCCTTTACTCCTTCATCTCCCCAAGAGATACACACATTCGTGGTCACACATATGTATTCACACATACTGATAGTAGTTAATTTCACTGTGCACTTGAAGTCTTGGCCTCAGATTAGATGCCATTCTCTCTTTGGTGAGGACTCGCTGAACCCTGAGAGTTGGATGTTCTTCCTGTGTTTTCAAAGCAGACAGTAGCAGACACTACATCTCTGCATCAGTGTATCTATTCCCCCCATCTTCCCAAATTGTAGTTGCTTATTCATTTATTTCCTCTGCAAGACACAAAACTCCTTGAGGATAGTAATTTTTTGTGCATGTTTGTGAAGGCAATATCAAAGTCTTCCTGAGAATTAGCACACAGTAGGTAAGCGATATTTTACCTTGAGCTGACAAGTGGAATGGTGTCATTAGAAAGCTACAAAATTAATTTTGTGATACTGAGCCTCTAACTAGTTGGAGATTAGTGTGCTGCTAAATTTGCATTAGTGTACTAGTCAAAGACAAGGATATTCAAGTACAGCATTTCTTAGTTTCATATTAATTGCATATTTCTGTTGATTTCATGTTACCCCCACTGAAAAGCAGCCTAATATACTACATTGGAAACAATATGATAGAACTTTAGTAATTATAGTGGCAATACTGACACTATTATCTTGTATATGTAAAGGTTTTGACAAATTTAAGAGCGTTTCATATATCTCAAGGAAATACCCCAAAAGCCTGTTTCTACTCAACATTAAAGACCTAAGTGAAATCTGAGACTTTCAATGCCTTTTGGATATGTAATTAGACAGGAGTTTAGCCTTTTGTAACACATCTAATGATGAAAATTTCTAATTTTAAGCTGACTGTTCGGCATCAAAATGGCCATCTTTACAAATGAAGTAGCACTCATGTGCTCAAGTATACATAGAATGTATGCAAAGTGAATGTCTCCTTTAAATCTTCCTCCCATTGACTTGAGCAATGAGAACACATGGACACAGGGAGGGGAACATCACACACTGGGGCCTGTTGGGGGGAGGGGGGCTGGGGGAGGGATAGCATTAGGAGAAATACCTAATGTAAATGACGAGTTGATGGGTGCATCAAACCAACATGGCACATGTATACCTATGTAACAAACCTGCATGTTGAGCACATGTACCCCAAAACTTAACTTATAATTAAAAAAAAAGTGAAAAAAAAAATCTTCCTCCCATTACCAAGATAGAAATGGACCCTTAGTTACTGCCACTTGCCATCTCAATCTATGTTCTGGATAGAAATGGTGCTTGCTCTCTGCTAGCTGTTAATTGACATCACTTCTGCCAGAACTCTCCATCATTATTGACAAGAATGTTCTCCCTTGTTAATTGCCCAGAAGCACATTGAGTGATTGATTGTAACTTTTGGACAGATTTGAAATGCATTTGCAGAAAAGGGTGGGGGTGGTAATGACATAACGCATGGTAATGACACCAACTAACTGCTTATTTAAGTTTGTTCAGGAAAAATATAGTGATCATTTACCTGATTTTTACCTTTTATATAGATGTGCTAATGGTAAGTAGTGATAGCTTTTAAGGATGCCCCATATTAACCCAATGCTTCACAAAATCTCTCTCAGACTATGCCCATAAAACTCCAAAATCTATGGTCAACTAGTGGGAAAAATGAATAATTTATTTAACATATAAGCAGGGAAAAACCAATGGGTAGATGGAATATTTTACATTTTTGTTGATTTAATTATAAGTAGGAAATACCTAGATTAATGAGAAGAGTTTTTAAATGGAAGACTGGGAATGCTCAATATTCAACAGTGTAAGATTTTCTTTTAGCATAGAAGCAACTAGAGTAACAGATTAAGTGCATATTTTCATGAGAACTTTGCTTACAAGCTGGATTTCCCTAGAAGTATTTGAGACACAAGGGTGAGTCAACTAATAGTATCTACAGTGTTTTTGCAACCATATAATGAGAGAGTAAGTCTGGATCAGTAGTTACTGATGTATGAAATCACATGAAGAGTTTTTTAAAATGCCAATGCCTGGATCCTCCCCTAGAAATACTGATTTTATTTGTCTAGGCAGGGTAATGATGATCAAACTTTACTCTGAAGCAGCATCTTCTCACAAACTTGGTAAAAGTATAAAGCCTCAAGCCCTATCCTGCTTCAAGCAGCCTGGGTCTTTGTTTGCTGGATTACCTCTCCTGGTGATTCTGATAACATCAAAGTTTGGAATCACTGCTCTGGGTTCAACATCAGACATTTTTTTCAAGCTCCCCCAGGTGATATTCCCTGGGTGCAGCCAAGGCTGGGAACTACTGATTAAAGAGATATTTAGGATTCTTCCCAGTCTGGCAGGAATAATAAAAATTGCTACCGTTATTAAACATTCATTGCATATAAGGCATTGTGCTAAGTATTATTTCATTAAATAATTGCAAAATTCAGTGAAGTAGGTAATGTTAGTACTACTTTGCATATGAGAGACAGGGAGGGTAAATAATTTAGCTAAAGTAACATGGGTAGGAAGTGGTAGATTGGAACTCAAGCTGTAACCTCAAAGATCACACAAGAAACTATTACAATCAATAATCTTTTGGAATTATAAGATAAATTAAAAACTCTACAAGTTGGAAACATATTAAATTATTTTCTTCTATTTTAAAATGTTCCTGACTTGCAATTACATAGTAAAAACAAAACAAAGAATTTTTAAAAGTCAATGGAAAATATAGAAAAAAATAAAGTATTCATGAGTTAAAAGGAAGGAGTAAATTGGTAGTGAAAATCAGGTTAGATTTTAATTATTCCAATTTAATCTGGAAAAAAATTATAAGTTACTTGTGTTAGTATATGAGAAATTAGAATAAGAGTTTCAGATAGAGGTATTTTGCCACAGTTATATTGAGGGGAAAGGTAGCAAGCATTTCAGGGGAAAGAAGAAATCTGTATACTTCTTTAAAATGGTTTCGGATGTTAATAATGCAATGAATTAAAAGAAAAAAGGCAGTCTATACGCAGAACACTTCCATTTCTCTCCTTTTGTGTTTGGGAAAATACTGACTTACTGCCCTCCTAGGCATGGAAAATACTTTGACCACTGCCATCAGTCACACTTGTATCTGCAAAGGGGCAAAAAGAGTGCCTTTGTAAAGTATGGTTTAGTCCTATACAGTGGGGAGTGGTGCTTAGGAAACTGCCTTGTTTCTCTTAAGACACAACCTTTCTCAGATTTGGTGTGTAGTCCGCATATGAGCAGAGGGCTCATATTAAACTGATAGAGGAAAGGTATATTTCCAACCATAAATAAATAAATAGCATGAAGAGATGATGGGGGCCTTCTCCTGCCACTTGCACATTTCACGGACTGTTCTTGCTGATAAGCAAAGTGAGCACTTATTTTCATTGGCATTATTTTCCCAGTGGCACCTAGACTATGTGGAGAGTGTTGAATTTTCAGCAGTCTAGAGAGTTGGAGACATGGTTCCTGATTCTGTTACTCTAGCATCCATTACATGATATGCATGAAATGTACATATGAAATTATGTTAAGACTGAGTGCGTGGGAAGAATAGAATAATTACACAGCCAACAAGTTGTTGTGAGTTCTAAATATATTATCGTTCAAATAATGGATGGTACTGTGGTAACTTTCACAAAGAAAAATTCTAGAATTATTTTAACGGTAAGCAAATTGCATTTGATCTTTAATGTGGTAAAATTAAAAAGGTACAGGGAAAAAAGTGTCTACATATTGCTCTGAAATCCTCTTGGCTTCTTAAAAACATTTGACACTGCAGGAAAATGCTAATTAAAGGAAGACAAAAGTTGAATTTGGATTCTAGTGCCTCATAGGACTCGAATTTCTGTGAATATTGATACAACATGTTTTTAAAACACTTTGGTAATAGAGCTCTGTTCTGCTGGAAGTGGCAGAAAGGCAACTTGCAGGTAGGCAATGAAGGTAGAGACTACCAAAGATAATCAGAGGTTTGTAATTGAAAAGGTGCCTCAACCTTAACTCTGGCCAGCGGGCTCAGCCATGGCTCTGCAACTAAGGACGACTCGCCTTGATTTCCAGCGAGGACCACTCTCGGGGCCAGGTTGGAGGAAGATCTTCAAGAGGAAACACTGGGCATTCTCCCTGCTATGGGAAAGATCCACACAATGTTTTATCCTATGTCAGGGAAAGAGACTGAATTAATCTTACTATTGGATCTTCACCCAGATCCAAATTTTCAGCGACGCGCATAGACAATATTCCAGGCAACTTTGCCAGGTCACATTCCTTATCTTTGGAAGCGCCAGCATGGGGCTTATCGTCAACAAGCTCTGAGAACCAGCCAGGAATCGCCAAACTCCATTTCTCGAAGAGCACTGAGGCAAGCGGAGGTGAAGAGGAAGCCTCGGGGCAGTGAGGAGCAGTGTGGGGGAGGGAGGCGCGGGCACGACGAGGGGAAGGATCAGGAGGACAGGTCTGACTCCTGACTGGCTGGAGTGGTTTTGGAGAAAGTCACAGCTCCGGCGTGCCAGCCTGGAGCTGTCCAACTTTTCAGCAGCTCTGGGATCAGGGTTCCGGTGCCTTGGACCGGGGAGGCGGCTACCACTGCCGCCGCCGCCGCCGCTGCTGCTGCTTCTGCAGCTCGAGTTGCTGACAATCCCTGCTCTCGCCGCCGGCGCCCAAAGAAAGGAAGGGAAGAAAAAAGGGAGGAAGAAGGACCAACCTCTGGCGAAACCGGGCACCGCGCACCCTAGTCTTGGTGACTTGGGGAGCCCGGGAGCGCGTCTCTGCCATAGCCTCGGTGGAAGGAGCCCTGCCGCGTTCTGTGACCCCTCCCGCTGGCAGGGCCCCCTCTCGGTAGCCCTGAGGCTCTGGCGCCTTCAAGTGAGAAGCTGAGCACCAGCCTCTGCTGGGCTGCAGAAGCGGCGGCGGCGGCGGCGGCAGCAGCAGCATCAGGAAGGCGCTCGGGCCAGGGCGGTGAACCCGGGCTGGGCAGCAGGGAGCGGAGCCGCGAGTCAGGATGGAGGCAGAGGGCAGCAGCGCGCCGGCCCGGGCGGGCAGCGGAGAGGGCAGCGATAGCGCCGGCGGGGCCACGCTAAAAGCCCCCAAGCATCTCTGGAGGCACGAGCAGCACCATCAGTACCCGCTCCGGCAGCCCCAGTTCCGCCTCCTGCATCCCCATCACCACCTGCCCCCGCCGCCGCCACCCTCGCCCCAGCCCCAGCCCCAGTGTCCGCTACAGCCGCCGCCACCGCCCCCCTTGCCGCCGCCCCCGCCGCCAACCGGGGCTGCCCGCGGCCGCTACGCCTCGAGCGGGGCCACCGGCCGCGTCCGGCATCGCGGCTACTCGGACACCGAGCGCTACCTGTACTGTCGCGCCATGGACCGCACCTCCTACGCGGTGGAAACCGGCCACCGGCCCGGCCTGAAGAAATCGAGGATGTCCTGGCCCTCCTCGTTCCAGGGACTCAGGCGGTGAGTGGAGAGCGCCCCCTCCCCCATTCAGGCAAAGGGTCACCTCCCCTCTTCTCAAATACTCCATCTAAGTCGGCTTATCACCACCAATTCTAGACCCAGGGTCAAATGCTAGTCTGGAAATTGGGGAAGGACAAACAGGGGTGTGCCTATCCTTTACTGAGAGTATTCTATTCAGGTGTGTGTAAGGGACCCTCCAAAAGTACTGCATAAATGTTAACTGGGGCCGTGTGTGTGTGTGTGTGTGCGCGCGCGCTCGCGCGCGCGTGTGTGTGTGTTGTGCGCGCGCTTCCCAGTTTTCTGTGCCGCGCACCAGCCCTCTCCCCACCCACTTCCATACCACCCTGGCTAGTGAGACTAAACAGGCAAAATCAGTTTGCTCTGGGTGGAGAAGAGAAGGTGAAGGTTTTGCGGGATTTGACCGGCGAAAGCACCCAGTCATCTGTCCACTCACCCCATTGGGAGGAGGGTCGGCGGGGCTGCTCTGACTAGGGAGGAGTGGGGAGTTTGAAAGGCTGGTCCCAGGATTGCAGCTATAAGCCTGAGAACAACTCGCGTTTCTCTTCGTCAGGGGGAGAAGTAAATTGAACTGCAAAAGGGGAGAACAAACACGTGGGTGACTTGGAGAGTTTGGAGCAAAATGTTCAGCAATCCTTGAGAGAAAGAAGGGGGTGAGGGAGGGAAGAAAGGAGCGAGGACGCTGTGGGAGTTACATTGTATCGGTGTGTGTGAGCTTGAGTGTAGGGAGACTGTGTGTGTTATCAGTCGTCTCTGCAAAATCCCAGGAAGAAAGCGCCTTGTTTTAGCAGCAGGCAAGACGTAGAGATCTGATTATAGTGATTTCCCCTTAACGTAAGTGCTCCGGAAGACAGGGCAGGGAAGCCGCCTATCAACCGGGAGTTTTAATAGAAGTTGACCGCTGCTTCTCCAAGGAAATGAGTAGTGTAAAGGACCAATTACAGCCGTTCTGAGGAGTCAGCTCCAGATTCTTAACTCAGGCATGGAGGTGGATGTGGGGCCCACGTTTAGTCCCTTTCCTGATAACCCAGAGACAGCTCCTTTCTTCCCTGTCCCAGGCCCTCCACGCCGTGAATCCCCTCCCCTACACAGGCACAGGAAAAGGATTTGAGGAGCTGCTGATCCTTGACACATCTAATAGTAAAGTAGAGGGGTCGTCATCTAACCTTAAATGTGGACAGGCATCGATGTACTGCACCTCCAAGCCACAAGTCTGGACACAAAGTTTGGCAGTTATAAATTGTAAATCAGGTCTGGGTATGGAAACAGGAAAATCTAGGGCTGGGATTGTTTGTCCAACTCTGATTGACAGTAGGTTGGACTGATCAGAAAATCATAATGGTGTTCAAATTTGTGTTTATCTGAGGTTGTGTGTGTGTGTGTTGTGTGAGCATGTCTCTCTGTTGTATACACTATGTACAAGGGAATCCAGCCAAACTATCATAACTCTGATGTGTACACATCATTTCAGCTTGCATATATGCTTTTAGCCCTTTGCCTGCTCACACCCTTAGGTACCCTTGTTGGAGATGTTCTTGTACCTGTTGGATGGGAAGAATAAGAATTGCAGTTAATAACCTCAATTCAGATCAATTTAAACTCTGACAATTGGTGTAGACTACAGACTTTCATAAATTAATATGAAAGTTTCATTTTTCAGCCAAGACTGCTAAGACCCTTTGTTTGAAGAGGTGGATGTCCTTCTCTCTCCCCTTTGGTTGAGCACTACACTATGTAGGATCCCAATGATAGAATGAAGGCAAGCATGATACTTTGTATATTTGACCTATTAATAGAAAAATACTGTGTGATGATGAGCCCTTAATAAACATTAAATGAGAACAAGAGTTTTAGCTTGATCTGTGGGCTGATTGATTTTGTAGAGTTTCTTAATTGACTTCATTTTTAAATAAAATAGGGTATGCCTGAGAGAGTGGAATAAAGAAAAATATGCTAGTTGGAATAGAGGTATTGCATCATTGATTTGAATTTATTTTTTGCTATGCTCTCTACATTGATTAATTGTTCTATTTGAAATTTTTTAGTTGAATGGTTCACGGGCAAACTAAGATGTATAATATTTATATGTAGCTGCCACTGTGGCTCACCTGATATATCATTGTCATTCTATTTAAGGATCCTTAGACTTAAAATCCTTTACAACACTTGCATATTCCCCACATGTTCACACATTGCATGTCATGTTTTTCCTTAATAGAGGTGCTTTTGCAAATAAATATATCTTTAAGGAGGACACGGATATTAGTTTCATTCTTTAAAAAGAACAGAAACAATACTTTTTGATTTTAAAGGGAACAGCAACAATGCTTTTAAATTATCAAGAAATTTTACATTTATTAACTTATCTGAATCCTACAACAACACTGAGATGAGATGGTATTATCTCTATTTGATAAACAAGAATGCTGAGCCCCAGAAGATGTGAGCAATTGGTTCAGTATCACATAGACTGTGAGTGCCACAGCTAAGACTGAAACTCAAGTCTCCTGCCTCATTAAAGATGGTGAGCCTACCTAAAATAAATGTATGCAGAACCTGGGCCTGTTGACAGCATCAAGAAATATATGAAACCAACATGAAGTTTATATCGATTGATACTGCAGGACATAAAGCCCGAATGAACTAAAAATGAGATATGGTTTGAATCCATTTTTAACAAAATGACAGATACCACAAGCTTCTGAAGGAAGTAATTAGAGATTTTAACTTTAGAAACTCTGGACAGTATAAACTGGTGTTAATGATCACAATAGAGGCAAACCAGTGTATTTGTTTACTTTGTAAAATGTATATAATACTACTTATGAAACAGTGTTCAGATAAATTAAAGATAGTGAGAACATTTAAGGTCTTTTTCAATAATTTTCTAAAAGCAAACAAGAAAAGGCTGTGTGTGTGTGTGTGTGTACGTGTGCACCACCATCATACCATCATCCAAATGGGGGGTTTAAATAGTCTGTCAAGTTAATGTCTCTGAAAAAGCCTCATGGGTGGATGGATGAATGATTCTCTATGGATTATCAAGAAAGATATATCTTTTAAAAAGCTATTTCTAGCATGTACTGTAGCACTTCCAGATACTATCTTGGCTGAAATTTCAAGAATTTGTTACAGTTTGTGAAGCAATGGGAAAGAGGAATCTTGGTTTAATGAAAAAGTTTATGTAAGCAGTAAGGAGACAACCCTTAGATATTTTGTGGTCAATTCTTTTGAGTCCATTGAAAATTTGGATATGTTAAATAAATTTTGTATGTAAAGTGTGTCTGTCAAAAAAGGTAGATTCATGTCTTAATCTCAACATGGAAGAAATTTCAAACAATAAAATTACCAGAGAAATGAGTCTCTAAGTTACCAAGAGAACTAAATGATATATGAAAAAAGTTTAAAACACTCTCTAAAAATGTACACATCAGATTAATCATTTCAACCAATAGTATTCAAAATGTGACAATTATTTAACTGAACTGATAAGTAATTTTATTGTTTCTTTGACTTTACACAACAAAATATTTTCCTTATCAGTAATGTGTTTTTTTAAATACACAGGAGCTGTGTATTTTCAATAATACACTAAGGTTGAAAATACAAGCAGCATGGATGATTCCTTGATATTATAAAATATTCTAGATTATAGTGATGCAGATATCCAGAAGGGGACATTTGATTTAGATACCTTATTTGATTCATTTACTTTTATCTATTTATTTATATAATTTTTTAGAGACAGGATCTCGCTCTGTTACCCAGGTTGAAGTACAGTGGCACAATCATAGGTCACTGTAGCCTTGAACACCTGTGCTCAAGTGATCCTCCTGCCTAGACTCCCAAAATGCTAGGATTAGAGGCATGAACCACCATGCCTGGCCCAGTTTAGGTAGAAGGAAAAGAGCTAAAAACTGTAATCACACGAAATATAAATCCTGTGCATATTATATTTACTTGACATTAGTTTTTTTTGTTTTTTGTTTTTTTGTTTTTTTTAAGACAGAGTCTCGCTGTGTCACCCAGGCTGGAGTGTGCAGTGGCACAATCTTGGCTCACTGCAAACTCCACCTCCCAGGTTCAAAGGATTCTCCTGCTTTGGCCTCCCAAGTAGCTGGGACTATAGGCACGAGCCACCATGCCAGACTAATATTTTGTATTCTTAGTAGAGATGGGGCTTCATCATGTTGGCCAAGTTGGTCTCAAACTCCTGACCTCAAGTTATCTGCTCGCCTCAGCCTCCCAAAGTGCTGGGATACAGATGTAAGCCACTGCGCCTGGCAACATTAGTTTTTTAAATACGTTAACATCATATATTAAATGAAGAAAACATATTGTAATATTTAAATAATAAAAGAAATTAGGTTTTCATTTTTCTATGCTAGGTTATTGTTTTATTGATTTTTCAGGTTATTGGTGTAATTTTTTTCTTCATTAAAGGATGGAATGGTAATCTAAGTTCATGATGTAAAATTTAGATTTCAGATTACCAAAATAATTAATTGAAAAGTTGGCCATTCAGATTGTCTACATCAGTGAATTTGAATTTAGGAAACAGTATCTTTAAAAAAAAACATATTGGAAAACTGACATAAGGTTGACATCTTTAAATTTTAATATGTAAGGACACTAAGGATATTTAAATAGTAAAAAAAATGCAAGGAAAATGTATAGTTTTTACATTTCCTACATATTGCCAACACAGTGTTAGACTTTTTAATTTTTTTGAAACTAGTTTGAACCTTTCTTTCTTCATTTGCCTCCAATAGAATATTGTCTTGGTAACTTAATTTAATACTTTATCAGCTAGTGTGTTCTAAGCCTTTGATTAATCAGAAAAACATAATGAATCCATCACCTTCTTACATTTTGATTCTAAAATGATGTACCTTCTGTGTTTCATGGAAATGGGAGGTGGCGGGCAGAGGAGGTAGAAGGGAAAAGATAGGAACAAGTCCCCAAGCAGGAAATGTTCCTAA